CCGAGTATGGAATGTCTGAAAATGTGTTTAACTTTTCATGCGCAGATGGCAAATTTTTATTTTGCTCCTAGAAATATCCATCCGATATGAGCCACACATTCGAGGTTGAGAAACGCGTGTTTGAGGCTCTGCCACAAATCTCTATCTTCCTTGCGGTTGTGCGCGACATTGATCTAAACCAGTTGGATAAAGACGGCATTCACAACCTTTTTGAGGAATCCTGGAGTCTGGCTCATAAGCAAATCTCTGCTTACCCAAATGTTCAGAGCCATCCCAGCATTCTACTATGGAGAAAAGCATCTGAACTATTGAGTATTTCTGCCAAAAAGTATCCCAGCTCCGTAGAAAGCATGGCCAAGCGAACAACAAAAGCGGATTCCAAGCCGTTTTCAATCAATCCACTTGTGGATTTTTACAACGCATTTTCGCTAAAGTATCTTCTGCCATTTGGCGGCTTTGATATGGCAAGCAAGGCCACTAAAACACTCAGTCTGAGATTCTCAAGGGCAGGCGACAAATTTATGGCTTTGAATGCTGATGCCACTGTTGACATTCCATGCGGAGAGGTTCTCTATGCATCAGGAAATACTGTGGTAACTCGGCACATTAACTGGAGACAGTCGAAAGAAGGCCTAATTCAAGAGACAACCACTAATGCTTGCTTCATGGCCGAAGTGCTCCATGGATACCCAGAAGCTAGATTGACTGATATGAAGATGGATTTTAAAAAATGCTGTGTGGATCTTCTAAACGTTGAGCCCGAGCTGTACATGATAGATGAAGCTAATCCTTCTATTACTTATTGAAATCTAAAGTATTGAACCGAAAATCTACTTTGCGGGCTTGCTGTGTCAATTTGAATAAAACAGTTGGCATTGAAGGTTAATCACAACACTCAACATTATGCTGTTTTATCTAATATGAAATAACCAAAAACAGAACGTTAGACAGCATACTAAATTATCATTTTGTCTATATCGTTATCTAATTTATTCGAATTTATCAATGGTCTTATAGTTCCATAATATATCGAGCAGCCCATTAGGGCTAATTTCAAATTATTAGTCATGATGTGTTAAAGGTTCAACTATATACTGACCTTTAGTGCACAATTAGTTAGCTTCCTCATCTTGACTATCATCTATATGCGAATATGCACTCTTCAATGTTTCGTCCATCAGCTTCTGAGTCTCGTCAATACAGTTTTCCCATGTTAATTTTGCGCCAGTTTTCTGGTCTTTTTGACTCTCCATTCCACTGCACAGCTTACCAACATGCTCTCCAATGCTCAACCTATAACAAATGTTGTCAATTAGCTTACTCTTGACACTGTTTCTGACATCGCTGTTAAAATTCACAATATCCTCTGGGTTGTTCACCCTCCACTTTATATACTTGTGCATATACCCGTCAAAAAACCTCCCAAAACATCGTAAAAACCTTTCGGGCGTCTCTTTGGTCAATAGTAAGCTGTTTTTTTCTAAAAAATCCTTGAAGTGCGAAGGATAGTGCATAGTCTCAGAGCCATGGAAGGGATTTTCTGCTAATTTCCAATAATTTTTAATGCCTACGCCAAGATACCCTGTTTCTAACTCATATTCGTACCCATCATGTTTAAATTTGAAGTTCTTCTCTTTCAATACCTCCTTTCTCTTGTCAACGATCGTCTTCTTAAAACTTTTGATTCCATCCTCAAAGATCTGCTCAATAGACACTCTCAAGCTTGTCAATATGAAATCATAGTCTTTATTGAGCTGCTTGCCATTTATACATCGAACAGAGGCTCCATCATTAGTATTTCTAGCTACAACGTTACGAACAATACAAGGACCTTCTGGTGAGTCTATCAGGGTTTCGTAGACTATGCCATTAGGATGTAAATAGTCGGGTTTTAAGGCATCTTCGCCAGGTAGTCCTGCTATCGTCCTTAAAAGAAAAATTATACAGCATGTTTCCAACCTCATTGGCAGGGTAGAAAAAAGATTTTTTAAAAGAAGCTATGCATGGCAATTCACTCAAGACCATGCCCAGTCGTTTTAAAAATGGAAATGTCTCTATCAAAGACAACTTTGACTATTTCAAACCATTTATTGAACTTGCTCAACTTCGATATCAAACTTGAGAATGTCAATAGTGCGGCCCTTGTTGTCGTCTTCTGCGAGTGTTCTTTTGTCGAAAGAGCAGTTTCTAAAGATCTCTTCTTGCTTGCTCACTGCATCCAAAATCAGCCCATCCACATTTGTCACCACCGCCCTGTCGGATAGGATAGTTGAAACATGGCATTTATCATTAATAACCGGTGATAGATAGAAATCTTCCTCAAATTCAAACTGATTCTCAGGTTCCAGGATTACGATGCCCATCATATTGTCACAGTTTCTGCACTGTACGACAACGTTGAAAGTTTCCTCTCTTCTAGCAAGCTCCCTTATTTTCATGGTTCTCCAATTTTCCTCGGCTATGAAAATGGTCTTTGGATGGAGAGTATTGCAGGCACCACATCGAATGTCTATGTAATACCGCTGAGCTACTCTCAGACCCTTGATATTGTCAAATTCACCTGTGATGTTTATGTTAAACCTCATGGGTGGAAAATTTTTAATGTTTTCAAAGCGAGCAAGCAAGACTGCAGTACTTTACTTACTGCTATGATCGGCCTGTTGCATGGATAATCTGTTTCAATGTTGTGTATTCTTCAAACAAGCTGCCCTTAGATCGGTATCCTCAGCAGACAAGTTTTCATAATATATTAATGAATGCTAAATTAATCATATTTATTCTAGTGTATTTTTAGCTTCTATTAGCAAACTGTTCATAAGAGTCGTAACCGATAATGCCTTCCTTTGTAAAGTACAGAATTCTATCAAACTTCTTCAGCAAGTCGTGGTTGTGAACAATCAAAATAAACGTCTTATCGTTGCATAAAGTGAGGATTTTGTTAATCAAATCCAGCTCTGATGTTCTATCAATATTTGCTGTTGGCTCATCCATCACAATTATGGGCGCATCCTTGATAACTGCTCTCATAAAACTAATTCTCTGCTTCTGGCCACCACTGAGATACTTTCCTTTTTCTCCTGACTCCGTGTAATATCCATCTCTCATAGACTTGAAAAATTCATGAAGTCCAAACGCCTGGCAGTACTCGTGAATCTTCTTTTCGTCTATGTTCTTCTGTGAATATCCCAAATTATATAGGACAGTGTTGTTGAAAATATGAGGATCCTGGGGCACGTAGGCAATCAGCTCCCTGAGAGACTTCGAAGAGATATTTTCAACAAGAATATCGTCGATGTAGAACTCCCCTTCATTTTTGAAAAATTTTAGCAAGGTTTTGATAAAGACCGATTTTCCAGCCCCGTTGACACCTGTAATGGCTATTTTATCGCCTTTATTGATTATAAGGCTTTGGTTTTTTTGAATCAAGTTGTTGCCTGCATACAGATCCACATTTCGAAGCCTTATGCTCAAATCAAAGGACTTCTTTGATATCAGACCAGTCTCACTGATATCAGACTTGGACGAAAAGCTAAGATCAGATTTCATTTCGGCCATCTCCTTGATCAAAATGAAAACCTTGTCTCGCAAGGCTATCACGGACTTCTTCAGGGAGTTAAAGAAGGAGTTATACTCCAAAAGCTCCTGGAGATTGAGACTCGACTCCCCGCTCCTCCACACAACTACCCCTTGTGAAGTGTTGTAAAAGACGTAAACATGAGGAAGAAAGAGCACCGTTTTCTGAATAAATAGAAGCATAGCATTGCATGCCTGGAAACTCTGTGATCGCTTGACAAAGGGTTTGAGCGAGTCGGAATAGACTCTTGCTTCGCGCCTTTCCTTATTGAAGGCCTTCATAATATCGTAGTTGTGGAGGATATCAGCCAGTGGGGTAAATGACTTTTTATATAGAAAAATATTCATTTTATCATTTTTATAAGCGTAAAATGCTATGAAGAAGGCAAAAATTACGCAAACATAGAACAAAGCAATAAATATTCCAAAGTGCTTTGGATTAAGAAGATTATAGATACTCCAAAACGAAAATATAAACTCAATTATTGCCTTTGGTATTTCAAAGAACAGTGCTATTGATACCTCACGAGCAGCCCTGCTCGATCTGCTGATGTTATCTTGTATTTTTGCACTTCCTTTCATATGAAACTCAGAATAGTCTAGCTGGGTGTATTTATTGACTGATTCGCAAAGAAAAGCTTTGAACACGACCAACGAGCATACTTTGGAAATGAATTCAGATAGCTGTGAGAAGAAGTAGTGTGTAAACACGATGCCAAGAGATAGCTTGAAGGACTCGAATCCATCTGCATACTTGCTCCTGGAGTACAGTGTATTTGTCGCCGAAAAGGAGTTGGTGGCAAGGACATTCAAATAGCTACTCAATGCAATAATTGCAAGTGACAATGGCACTAGTATCTGCAGTATCTTGTTTGCTCTGAAACATCGAACTAGAACGGGAATTGGTGAATTTTTGTCCGTCCAGCCACACATGTTTATTTAAAGGGCAGTATAAAATTTTACGAATATCTTTGTAAACTGAAAATAAAAGGAGCCAAACAAACCCATGGTATTTCATCTGCAAGCATCCCTTGGTGTGCATGGCGAGGCCAGCTATTAAAAAAGAAAGTACTAGCATGCAGAATGCTACGTTCTGGCGTGGAATCACTTTTTACATCAGTAAAATAGATCAGTTACCAGCAATTAGAATTTCGCAATTAGAAATCTTGGCTACTTAAACAAGCATTGCTAATACTACATTGCATTTGCAGATGGGGGCTTTTCCTCCATAGCACTACACAAACTTCAAAGGCTATTTACATTAATAATCGTCTGTTGCTGCCTGTTCCCTTCATGGAATAGCTATGCTTATAGATATGCAAGCCTCACTTGGACATCTTCACTTACCTTTGTACTTCATTTCTAAATCAAATATCATTTGCATAGGTCGACTTTTCACTGCTAGATTTTATTTATAGCACTTTTGCTAGTTTCTCGTGCCCTTCATGATTGAAGAAATTCTACTTAGACTCAGCAAATGCATCCAGCCAACCGAAGAGGAGGTCCAAATAATCTGTAATCTGGCCATAGACATCTTTTCAAAGGAAGAAAATGTCGTTTCAGTGCCGTCGCCCGTCACTATCTGTGGAGACATCCATGGCCAACTGCACGACTTATTCGAACTGTTCAAAATAGGCGGAATGCCACCCTACACAAGCTATCTGTTCATGGGAGACTATGTGGACAGGGGATACCACTCTGTGGAAACGCTTTCCTTCCTCTTGTGCTTGAAAATAAAGTTTCCAGACAGAATATGGCTTCTCAGAGGCAACCATGAAAGCAGGCAGATAACACAGGTCTACGGATTCTTCGATGAGTGCTTTAGAAAGTACGGAAACAACAATGTTTGGAAGACATTTACAGACATGTTTGACTATCTACCGATTGCAGCCATTGTAAATAATGATACCTTCTGCTGCCATGGTGGATTGAGTCCTTCTTTCAGCACAGTAGATGAACTGAAGAATTTTGATAGAAAAATCGAGATACCTCACGAGGGAATGATGTGTGATCTGCTCTGGTCTGATCCAGAGGAGAGCCATGGGTGGGGAGTCTCTCCAAGAGGTGCGGGATTCACATTTGGGCCTGATATAACTGAAGCATTCAACAAAAGAAACAACCTCAGACTTATATGCCGTGCACATCAATTGGTAAATGATGGATACTCCTGGAATCACGATAAAGAGTGCGTGACAATATTCAGTGCACCTAATTACTGCTATAGATGCGGCAACTTTGCTTCTCTTATGGAAATGGACGAAAAGGGCCACTATGACTTTACACAGTTCGATCCTTCTCCCGAGAGGCCAGATGACTACGCAGTATCAAAGATCCCAGATTATTTTCTGTGATGAACACAAGTAAAGCCGTCTAATATACGCCCAGATTCATATTTTGGTTTATTAAATACTTTAGCCGATACAAGATGCTTGTTGAATTGAAGAAGTATTTTAGTTTTACAATATGCGATAAGGGCATGGGTTAATTTATAGTGCATGCATGCCTGTCACATCTTTAGGGTGCTTTTACTTCTTCCTGCATGGCTTTACTATCTTTATTAAAATGAGCTTTTGTCTGCCCATCATGTGTGCGAATCCAGTCTCAAAGCAAAAAGACCCCGCAAACCAGAGAAGAAGGAGAGAGGAGCAACAGGTCGAACTGAGAAGACAGAGGACCGAGGAACTGCTGAACAAGAAGCGTGTCTCAACCAGAGAGGCACAGTCAAGCAATACGTTTGAAGCCACAAAAAGCTTGCTATTTTCAAACAACTTGGAGGATATTTATGGAGGAACATACGATTGCAGAACACGACTAAGCATTGATGTGAACCCACCCATCCAGGATATAGTCGTTTCTGGAATTGTGCCTAGGTTTGTTGAACTCCTAGACAAGAACTTTTATACTCAGTTCGGTGACAATCCTCTTTCTTCAAAATGCAGATTCGAGGCTGCATGGGTTATCACAAATATTGCCTCGGGAAACTCAGAACAGACGAAATACGTTGTAAATGTAGGCGCCGTTCCACTTCTTGTAAAAATGATATCCGAAGACGACGAAGGAATACTTGATCAAAGTGTCTGGGCGTTGGCCAATATTTCAGGTGACAGCGAGGCGCTCAGAGACATTATTCTCGAAGCAGGCGCTCTTCAAAAGGTGGCTGATTTGATTCTCAAATATATAAACACCAGCGGCAATATTAAGATTTTGAGAAATCTGGTATGGCTTGTTTCAAATCTTAACAGAGGCAGATATCCAGCCCCAACGCTGGAAAATATGCAGAAATCATTTTTCGTTATTGAGAAGGTAATACAGATCAATGATCAAGATTTAGTTTCAGATGCCTTCTGGTGCTTGTCATATCTTGCTGATGCATCATCCGAAATGACTGACTCCATTCTCAAGTCGTCAGCTATGAAAAGGATGTTTGATCTTCTGAGTAACTTTTGTGGAGCTCTCCAGAAGCCTGATAGCGACAATAAACTGTCTAAAATTGGCGCTTCTGCTATTTGCCCAATCGTAAGAACCCTTGGAAATATCGTTACTGGCACTGAAGAACAGACCAATGCGGTTATTAGCATGGGATTCTTGCAGTTTTTCCATCCAATATTTTATTTGTATGACAACAAGAAGCTGCCAAGAATACGAAAGGAGATCTGCTGGCTCCTCTCAAATGTTACAGCAGGATCAGCAACACAAATTGTCTATGTGCTCGAGGGTGACTTGGTTGGACTGGTTATTGACTCTGTCAACAAGCACGATCTTTTCATCAAAAAGGAAGCAGGAATTGCGCTGTTTAATATGCTATATTTCTGTAAGGCGAATCCGCAATACCTGCAAAAGCTATTGGACATGGGTGCATTGCAGGCGCTTCAGAATTACCTAAAGGCTGTTGGAAATCTTCCTGAATCTCAGTCCAAGATTTTGGACTGTGTCCGCTGTTCCCTTGAAGCTGGCGAGAAAATCAAACAGAAATACGGAATAAACCCTGTAATCCAAATATTGATTGATACTAAGTTTATAGATGAGATCGAGGAGTTGCAAAATCCCACAACCAGTAGTGTTATAGCCAGACAGGCCTATGATATTATTGTTACGTACTTCGAGGGTGAGGAGGAAAATCTATAAATTAGTGAATCACTTATGGCACCTCTTGTTTTATAAAGCTTTAATGTATCCAGTATGTTCCATCTATACGATATTGTTCAAGAAGGTTGGCAAATCTGTGGTTTTTAAACTCTTGCACATAAGATTGATAATTAAATATTGCCAAAGATCATCTGATTTTATGTAATCTTTCTTAGATTTTTATCTCCTTACCCATGGAAAGGCTAAGAGGTGATTTTGAAAAGATCTTTGCTCTGTTTTGCGACGAATCTAACCTAATGCCACAGATAAACATTGTGAAGGCGCTTAGGAGTGCTGGATATGTCGTGGAAGATAGCTTTGGAGATTGCTGCACCAAAAGCCACATTCCTCTCGAAGAATTTGTTGATTTTATATACAAGGCCCAAGTACATGGATTGAGTAAAGAAAAGATCGAGGAGGCCTTTAGGTTTTATGACCCTGACGAGACAGGATACATCAAAGCATCAGAATTTAAAAGAATACTCTCTACAGGGCCTAATGGGCTTTCAGAGTCTGATGTCAGCATTGTCTTGGAGACGTTTCCACCAAATGACCAAGGAATGATTTGCTATACTCTTCCGATAAGTTATGTGTTCGAGGATATAAAGTAAATATATTTGTGAAATCTGCTTGCAATAGATCGCAGCGCACGAGCTTATCAGATGGTGTTTTGATGTTTATTTTAATTAGCCGATGGCTCTACCAAACACAGCCACGTAAAAATCTAATTTCACGGATAGATAATTTATTGAAATGGGTTATGTTCGTGGTGATTGTTTATGCCCATGGACAGCATCATCGAGAAGAAGTTAGAAAGCCCGGAAATAAAGTCTCAGGAGGAGATGAAACAGTTTGTAAGCGAGATGCAGTCTAAGATTACGCTGTTTGAGAAGAATATGTATGACATGGACGGGGTGAATCCAGAAACTTTGAAGAAAATTAAAGCTTGGCGCTCTCGTTTATTAGAGATTGTACGAAGCAACAGGGAGTTGCCGGCAAAAGAAGACCCTGAGGAACGGGAAGGGCTGGAGACACTCAAACTACTCAATAGGCAACTAGAGTATGCAGATCTAAACCAGAAAATCTTAGATAAAAGTACCCTTAAACTGGCCAGCTTGGATTTTTCAACGGACGAGCTGGATAAGGTCATAGCTGAAACCAGAAAGAGGCTTGAAAGTAACCTAAAAAAGGAGGAAGGAGAGTACAGAAGACTAATATTGGCATTTACTGTTTTTATATGCGTATGCATTGCTATATTGATCGACAAGATTAGATTGAAGTTGTGATTAAAGGATGTACCATAAACGAAAGCTGTATGTGGCAAATCCTTGGAGTTGAAGAAGATTTATAAGTCAAGCCCGTTGGAGTGGTTTTACTAAAGTGCAATATTCTGGCTATTTTTAAATAGGCAATCCTCATGACTGAGTAAAATCGTATAGTATAACTCAGCTTTAGCAAAGCACTCCTGATTGACTAGCTTTTTGTGAAACACGTTTCACGTCGAAAATATAATAAAACACTGCCGTAATAATAATGTTCAAAACACTTCTACTTATTGTTATTATTCTTCTGCAACTTTCTACGTTGTTTGTCTTGTACGTAAAATTCCCTGAAATAACCAGCGAGGTAGAAAAGAAGCTCGGTAATATCTCAAGCCTAAATCTTGAAAACATAAATGGCAGTCCAATGGAGTCTAACGAACTGGCACAGCAGAAATCTGAAAATCAAGCGCAAGCATCAAATATATCTCAGCAAGCAGGTAGCTCAGCATCTGAGGCACCAGAAAACAACCCAGGCCAGAGCTCTGGCCAGAGTCCTAAAGGTGCCGAATTGGTATCTCACAGCGGTAATCCAGAAGTATCATCATCGCTGCTCCAAAATCTCTTAAAGGTTAATTAAATCTAAATTAATATTTAAAACACATCCACTTGTAGTCTTTTTAGCATTTAATGTTTGGGAATGCTTCAACGTAATATATAGCTGCAGTAAAAAGATGTGAATAGCATAGCTTTAAAATCTAGCCAGCAATATCTTGCATGCGTATTGTATAAACATCCCATTGCATCTTTATATCAAAATAAATTTCTGAAACAGTCTCAATTGAAATCTAAAATAAATCCGAGACACAACATAGATGCTTTTGGTGCTTCTTAGCATTGCTAAATGTATGGTTGACTTTGTTGAGCCTGCCGCCCTGCTGGTGGATGGCTTTAACGAAGAACATGGCATCAAGAAACCCTCGCTTGATAAAAAACACGACCTTGCAGGAATGGATCATCAAGTCAAGACAGTCAATAGTCCAGAGGTATTTATTCCTGAAATAGTGGCTAGTCCTCCTCAGGAAAACTTTAAACACAGACACTCATATCCAAAAATGCCATTTATCTACAGTGTTGATGTCCAAACAAAGATAGTACTGCTAGGAATAATGATCCTGCTATTTGCATTGGTGATATCCACAACGACAAGAATGATGCAAGAAGTAGTGAGGATAAGAATGAAGCTGAATAATATTGATACTGTTCGTGAAAATAACGATAAAATTTAAAAATAAAGACCTCTGTACTAGCTGGCTTGTGTTAAAAGCTATATGGCTACTTCGGCTATGTTAAACAATGGAGTCGCTGTGTAAATTTAACTATTGTTTTGAATATCTAGTTATATAGATAGAGTATCAATAGAGCAATGGCCAAATGGGTCCTAAGGTAATTTATTGCTTATTTAAGCTGCCGGTGTCGACACTCTTGGCGATGTAGTCTCCTCTGCATACTCGTCACCTTTATTTCTTTTGAAAATTGAGTATCCAAGTAAAATGGCAACCAATAGAAGAACGATATTCAAACCAATGTAAATGTAAAGTGTTGTTTTGGCACTACTGACCTGGTCGTCGAGCTCTTCTTTGAGACCTCCTGCGCCTGTTTTCTCTGACTTCTCAATCAACTTGTGGAGATCATCAACAACAGGCACACACTGTTGAGTAAATGTGTCTATAGTATAGTTTTCCTTCTTTTCTTTAATTTCAGTGAAAACCGCAATAGAGCCGTCGCTGAAAACGTTCTTATCGAAAAGAACAGCAATAAGATCTTTTGACTCCGGCTTTGCAACTGGATCGCTGAGGAGAATTTCTTTTAAAACGTTAAATAATTCGCTTATACGCCCCTGGCCTTCTTTAACTGCATTCTGTAAAAAGTTCTTTAACTCCAGCAGTCCAGGCTGCGTCAAAATATGCTTTTTGAGTTCGTCATCTTTCATGTCTGGTTTATAGCTTAACTTAAGCGTGCTTCTGACAAGCTTCACTAACTCGTTGGCACAAGTTTCAACTAAAGCATTCATACTGGTGTCTATTTTTGCCTTCTCTTCTTCATTGACACTTCCTGCACTTGCCTTGGCTGACTCCTCTTCCAGCTTTTTAACATTTCCGCTTAGAGAATTCAGTAGATTCACAACCGTAGTTGTATCATCTCCGGATGTTGCTCCGACTTGTCCTAGTAAGTTATATGACGATAATGCCAGCAAGGCTGATTTCACGTTAAACGCTAACTTCATGAGGGGATGGATTCAATTTTTTTTAAATAGTTAAAAGGAGATATAAAGGAGAAATCGTAAAAAGTCAATCAAGAATAAAACTAGGATTTATACTATATGAATACTGTACATCTCTCAGCTGCATATAAAAAACTACAAATGCACTTTACCGCAAAGATTTTCTTAAAACAAAGATATTTAATAGCTAAATCCTAATTTATAATCCTTTCCTATCTTTGTCTTCGCAGACATGTGAGTCATTCTCCTTTTGACACTCATCGCGACTACTTTTTTCCGGATCATTAGACGAGCCATCGCTTGACGAGCCACTTGCTTTAGCAGACTTCTTCTCCTCCTCTTTTTTCTTCCTTTCCTTGTCCTCTTCGTCCATAGCCTTCTCAATGTTCTTTTGAACATCGGCCTTTAGTTTCTCAAATACATTTCTATCAAAGGACTGCGCATTTTCAATATCAAGCTTGAGAGTAGACAGGTATCCCCTAAGACAGTATATTGAATTGTGCAACGATCGGAGAGCCGAGGTGCTGAATGTTAAATATTTTGATATTTCTGAATCAAACTTCTTCAGGATTTCTGAACCCTCCGATCGAACATTGTCTTCGACTGCCTTTAATTTGTCGCTGATAAAGTCAAGAGAAGAAATAATGCTGCTTTTCAGATCTTCCTCCTCCTTAATGCTCGAAGTGACAGGCTGAGACTCAAAAAAGGAGTCTCTTATGGCATCTATCTTTTTACTGTCCTCGGCTGTAATAAGCCCTGGAAACACCCTATTTATAGAGCTGTCGAATGAGTCTAGGAAATTTTCAAGATGATTACGCATCAGCTCGACACTCTTCTTTTCATTCTCAGTCTTGCTGAATTCTTGATCCATCTCTTTCATCTCGTTCAGCACCTTCTCGCTCAGCCCAAATGATTCAAACTCAAATAGAAGATTTTGAGGACTGTCAGGTGAAGAGCCCTGGCTATTCTCAGATCTAACAGCGACAGAGCTAACCTCAAATGTCATAAATGGGGTAATCCTGGCAGAAACAACAACCGTCTCGGGCGCCTCAGTCTCTTTCTTAGTTATTTTGATCAATCCAATCTTTTTTTCATTTTCAAATACTTCAATATTGAAGCTGGATTTTCTATTATATCTGATTTTAACATTCTCAAAAGTTAGTGGCGAGTTATGGGAAAATACAAGAGTGGGTTTTACATCCTCCCCATCTATCTTTACAAATATGTCACTGCCCAGGATCTCATCAACTCTAAATTGCATTTTTCTTGAATTAACCGCCAGGGCGAGACAGGCGCCAAGAGAGGCCGACTCGGATGTGTTGAGAGTTGTGTTGTAGGAGAGCGTGCTGAGAATCTCCTGTATGTATGCATTGTTGGAATTGTTTCCCACAACTTCAACATATCCGTCGAACTTTGACTCCTCCTTGATCATTGAAAAGAAAGCTTTTAACTCTTCAAGGGTAGATTCAAGGGCGCTGAGATACTCAGATCTGCTGATTTCCATGTTCACTAGCTGGTAGTCCTCAGAAATTATGCGGGTGCTTACTGTTTCCAAAGTGTTCAATCCTTTTTTGATTGTGTTAACCTCTTTGAAAATCTTTTCTCTTGAAACCTCATTGTTAGGAAGATTGTAGTTCCGTATTAGAATAGAAAATACAGCCTCGTCAAAATCGGTGGCACCTCTTCTAATGCACCATCTTTTAACAGGCATCAACCTGTTATCTACAAACTTAAAGAGCCCAACAGATGTCTTTGAATATCCACAATCAATAATCATAAAATCCTGAGCAATCTGAAGATTCCTGAGTGCAGCACATGCAGCCACGCTAGTAAGATGGGTCATAAATGAGCACACGTCCAAATTACTGATCTCAACGACAGACCTTAGAACTCTCTTCTGCTCTTCGTCAAAATACTCAGGGATCGTAAGACAAGCATTTTTGTATTCGTTTTTGAGTCTAATGGTCCTATCGAGGTAATTTAGAAACATAAGAAGATTCTCTTGGTTCTCTGGCACTAGTATATTGCCAAAGAAGTGTCTTTTCCTCCGTGCGAGATTGTTTACTGAATCTCCGCACACGCCGTTGCCGAATGTGCGAATCGGACTAGTCCTCTCGATGACAGTTTTTATCTCCTTTTTTCCGAATTCGTCTTCAATTGCTATGCCATTGCCGTTTGTGCTGTATATGACAGTCTTAATGGATCCTATGTCAATTCCGAGATTCATGGGAGGTTTTCATTTGAAAATTTTTATCTTCAAAAATTTCTAGAAAATACCAATGAGTGTTCTAGAACAAATGCGAGAACGGGCACTAAAAATGCATTCAAGAAATATTAAGCAATTAAATATAAACTCCGGTAAGTAACCTGATAGAGTACAGCACAATGCAACAAAATTGTCCACGTATCCATTCAGCAATAAAACAAAACGAAATTGGGGAATTGTTCCGGACTAAACATTAACTTATTTAATCTTCTTACTTAATGTTCTTGATCTGAGACAGAATGTCGAGTTTTCTATCAATAGTTTCAATAATTTGATAGTTTTCGTTGACTAGATCAAGCACCTCCCCCTGCTCATCCTTGAACGACTCGATTTTTTTATAAAATTTATCACAAATAGTCTCGAAATCTTCAATAACCTTAGCAGAATCTGAAACACTAGCACCTCTATGCTCATCCTCAATACTGGATAGTCTCTCTTCGAAATAATCAAGAACCTGACTGAGCTCATCCAGCCTTACATTTTCCTCATCAATCTTGTTTCTAATCGAAATATAGTTGTTCTTATTCTTTATTAGCTGAAGGTCCCTTTCAAAAATACTCTGTGCATCTCTTTCGAAATCTTTGATGTTTGTTTCAAGAATGCTGGAATGTCTGTCGATAGCCTCTTGAAGTGTCAAGTTGTATAGATTGATGCTATTGTCTTTCACTGAGGACATCAGGGAGCTCTGATCTGCTGGTTTTCTAGACTGGCCGAACGTGGTGTCCCTAGCAGAAGGTGTCTCGATATTAGATAGTGTGGTAGATGGCGTCTGGGTGTCAAACGATTGCTGCAGTGTTCCAAATGGATTAACACTAGGCGCTGTGCTGTTACGTGCTTGCTGATTACTTCCAAATGGCGTTGCATTTGATGAAAATAATGACGTCTGAGCAGTACTTGATGGTTCTGCACCAACGGGATTGTTGGCACTGCTAGAAAACTGATTTATTCCGGATGTTGGTGAGATGTTTTGCTGGGTATTGTCGAATACAGAACTGCCAGGAGGCATTGTGGATTGTTGAGCAGTATTGAATGGCAAATTTGACGAGGGAATCGCTGGTGTGGTGAAGGGATTATTTCCTGAGCTAAACTGCAAGCCAGGCGGTGCACCGCTAGATAATGGGCTATTCTGTGGCGGGGCTGAAGAGCTTATCTGGTTGGGTGGCATCTGTGCACTTCCAAATGGATTTGAAAAATTACTGCCGAAAATGTTTGTGCTCGGCTGGGTGTTGCTAAAGACATTTGTACCAGATTGCTTGCTTGCATTTTGTTCAAATATATTGGTGGTGTTGTTTGCGTTTCCCTGTTTACTTTGATTGTCTCCGCTTGGAGAGAACGGATTGTTCATTGGGGCCAATCCAGAGAAATGCTGAAAAGACAGAGCCAAGCAGAAAATCACAAGAAAATGTGGCCAATTATAAACTAATGCAGTGTTGCTTATAAAACTTGTTATTCAGCTTAGAACTGATGCTGTGGCCAAATAGGCCGCTATAATCCAGATGCCAACTGATCACATATAAACGCACGAAATAAATTTAGGCCTATAATATATGCAAGCTGTAGTAGTTTTGTATGCTGTTTGCACATTTATTATTTATTTTTTCTTTTCTAGCCCATGAAATACAGCAACGAAGGCGTCTCTCTGGGAAATCAAAAGACCGTATTCACGAACTTGTTTGACTTGGCTTTCATTCTATCGCCAATAGTTGGATTTGTTCCGCAGCTGTATGCCCGGAAAATTACGTACAGTTCGGTTTTGAGCCTGCTAACCATTGCTGCAAATGTTCTTAAGCTATTTTCAAGTATAAGCTCAAGTACAGATATAGCAATGACGTACCAATTTGCCATATGCATTGCGCTGCATCTGTTTCTACTTAAAATGAAAGTTTGAAATGCAGAAATCTGCAGCACCACCCCATTCTGGACAGACACTTCCCCTTTCAAATCTATTGATTAGGACCAGGCATTCCAGCCAATGGCTTGCGACAGGACTAATTGGATTCATCATTCTCCTAAAAATCCTGGATGAACTGCATTTTTCATTTGTTTTCATGAAAATGGCAATTGGCATTGAGGTTTAATATCTGCCCTTCACATTAGGTATTACAGCAGAAACAAGACAAAGCCGAGAGAATTATTTGTGGTGTGGATTGCAGGGGATATAATTAAGATGTATTTGATGTATCAGAGATACTCGACTCCAATCGATTACTATTTAGGTGCTGCGGCTCAGATACTGATAAACGCATACGTTTTGATTGGATAGAACAGTGTAAAATTAAATATTTGGGTTGGCAAAGTGTGCATATTGTTGTTGGCTTCTAGCAGTAGTAAGTTTGTGTGTTATGCAGCGGTCTAAGGCAAAAATACACTTGATCCGAATGCGACGGGACTCGAACCCGCAACCAACGGTTCCGAAGACCGTTGCGCTACCATTGCGCTACGCATCCTCCCAATACCCAATTCCCAGACCTCATCCCTTTGTATAATATAATCCAAATAATTTAACAGCAGTCAAATATATGTGCACCTGCGCACAATTTTGATGATCTATTGTCCTGCCTCAAAAATTTTTTCGTTGTTTGAAAATCACCACCCATGACTTCTCAAAAACTAACACGGGAGGAATATCTCAGCAAAGACTTTGACTACACAAAGTTGACAAAACAGGAGATGAGAGCAATTATGTCAGAAAATGGCGTTGAAGATATACCTCCCCTGACAGCCCTCAAAAGCACCATTATTGAGGCATATAAGAAAAACATTCACGATAGAATAGACAGCATCAAATCAAATTTCAGTGAGGAAAATATCTTCCAGGGACGGAAAGGAGAGTCAAGACCAGAGGACAACATCCTCAGCCCAAGCTTTAGCGCAGGAGATAAAAAAGATAAGAGCTTTGATTCCGAAAATGGTAATTTAAGGGACATACCAAAGCCAAGTGGGGGTTTTGCTAAAAAGAGTCTGGTGGAAGAGTCGTCTGAGATCAACTCGACGGCATTCAACAAGAAATCTAAGGCGTCTTTTATTGCCATTCCAAAAAGAAGAGAGGCTGAAGAAAGTACTATTACAAACCAGAACAACGCCATGAATCACGACGAATAGGCCATAGGGTTGTTATTAAAATTCCACGAAGCAGAGGAGGAAGAATCTTTACATTTAAACGGGTTTTGTTGGTCGTGCTTGTGGGATTATGTGCTTACTTTAAATTCTACTGCTCTTACTGTAAGCCAGGACTAAGATTCTGCATTCCAGTTCCTCCCCATTCGCGGCTTGTCAATAACCAGCTTGTTTGTGATCAAGGCTACAGAATATCAAAGGGGATTGCTGACATTTGTGTGCCTGATGTTGAGGAGGAGGGTGCTGTTCTGCAAAAAGCTGAGAAGTATATTAAAATGTTAGAGTATTTGAAGGGGGACTATAAGTTTGGCTATGCAAAGTCCCCAAAACTGAAGATTTCACTGATCTCTGACCCTATGGTTCTAAGAGTACTTCAACACTCGCCAAAGGTTCAGTTTTCAGAAGATATGATCGAAGCAAAAATCACAAAGGTTGGTTTTAGGGTATTAATTAGATTTTACTCGCTATTTCTGTTCAAAATTTGTTTGGCGATTGTTGTTCTGCTTTGTATCCTGAAGATATGGATAAATAGACGTAGGAAGGCTGCCATGCTACGAGCCAGGGCAGTAACAATATCCAAAGAAATCCTTGACATATTGAACAGACAGATTATGATGTCTGTCAAATCTACACAGTTTAAGCCTTATGTTTTAGCACAGCAAATGAGGGATGCGCTTGATATAAAGGAGGATCTGTGGCAGTATGTAAATGAGATCATACAAAGGAATTCAAATGTTGAAAAGATTACAGATGACCAGGGCAGAGCCATGTGGAAATGGATTGGCCCTGTTTTATACAAGACTGAGTCAATTGATGTGGAATAAATTTAATTTTATCTATTTTTCTAATGAAACAGCTATATGGATCAAGGGTGCAGAAAGAGCATGCTCGGCCATAGCTCCAGCACCAATCAATCTGCAGTATCTTTACTAGCAATCCAAATGAATAGGCATACGCATTTAATTTCCCTTTATTGTCTTTTCCATGTTTTAAGTACTTCGTAGTATGGCTCCAAAACAGCAGGGCTTGCGACTGCCTGGGAAAGTGTGGGAATATCCTCCAATTCAGTGATGCTATTTGGATCCAAGGGCACGGAAATGTTGAAGGTGTCAGGATGAACGGAGAACGGCATTTTAATAAGATGATTCATAGACACTGTAACCTGCTTGTCAATTCTGGGAAAGAAGTTTTTCACAAGATCGGCATCTCCATACCTTCCCATAATATTGTTATACTCCTGTACAAATAAGTTCTTATCCACGACGTTCTGGAAAAATTTAAAAATGTCATTTCGTACATGAGTTGGTAGCTCCTTCATTTCAAGCACCCAGCAGTGCACACCCCTTCTTCCACTGAACACGAATCCGTAGCTTGTAAATCCAAATTCAGTTCTTAGACTGTAATCTAAAATATTGATCGCACACTTTATTTTTTCATAGCAAAGATTGCAGATCTTTTTGTCCTTACAGCATTCTCTAGGATAGTCGGTAAGATCAATATCAAACACTATTTCACGTGCGACTGGAACTGCACCATTGGATTTTGAGGGTTTAATGTCGTACACAGGACCCAAATCTATTTTTCTTGGATTGACCAGCTCCAACTTCTCCCTAAATAACTCAGCAGAGTCAAAGGTGAGATATCTCATGTACGAGCCTGTACTTGTGAAAAAAGAGACTTCTCTCCGCCCATTGATCTCTAGAGTTTCATAGAGGAGCTGCAGCGGAAACAGCTCGCGATAGTAGACTTTTAGTTCGTTTTCCACATCCATGAGGGAGTGGCCAGGAAAAGTTTATAAAGCACGGCTCTCGTTCTCTTGATTATTATTAAATGGATAGTCCTGGCACTATATCTTCGTGTGTGGCAGGAGTCAAATCAATGAATCTCTGTATCGAAATCATTAAAATATCTGCTTTTCAGTTCTGTAAAATATAAAGCCATAAAACTCAAGATGAATTATAAAGTGGTATTTACTTAACTTCGGCTTTAGGCTGTTGTGGCTGCTGATGCTCTGTCTCTTCGGCTTCTTCTCTCTTTGCTATTCTTTCAATATCTCGGATCTTTCGCTCTGCATTTTCTTTGTTAAATAGTAGATTCTCGCGAACTCCGTACTTGTAGATAAAGAAGCATATGCCCACAATAGAAAAGTAGATATTCCACTTGAATGCAGAATTAAACTCTGAGTAAGAAAGATCAACATCCTCAACACCCTTTGTAAAGAAGCTCTTGAAGATTAGACCAGACAGCACAGTGCCTACGGCCACAAACACCCCGTTGTAGATCAGCTGCGAAGTCGTTCTAAGATATGGTGGACAGAAGCTGTTGGCAAGCTGCAGAGCCGATGTGTGGATAAGAGAATAGTTGGCGCCCTTGAGAAGCTCGATGAGGCAGCAGATGGCGAATGAATTAGGATTATCGTATGTCAAAGTGTAGTAGGACAGAAACCTGGATAGCTGGAAGATTTGAGAGAGAAGAATAGGCCAAAAGAACCCAAGTTTGTCAGTAACAAGAGATGAATGATAGAACACAACAATTTCCAATGCCACTCCAAACATTGTCGAAGTGGACTGCTTGTGATCATATGCTGCATCGACCAGAAGATTCAATGGCCAGAATAGACGGAAAGGGCTCTTCTGGTCATTGAACTTTAGTACTTTTGAGTAATAGAATCCGAGATAGTTTGTCATGAAAGCACGCGATATACCACATAGCAGAATGATAAAGATGAAGTAAACATACTCAAAGTTTCTGAGCAGTGCTTTTACAGAATTAATGTAGTCGCTGGACGTGGTTCGTCTCGGAAGATTTTTTACAAAGAGATAGATAAAGACGCTGGCTATTCCAACGACAAATATGTTAAAGTACTGCATATTGTCGTAGTTCTGCGTGTCCTTGTCATCGGTTGCAATTACATGTTCAACAGCGAAATTTGTGATGAGATATCCAAATGTAGACCAGAGTCTCTGTGTGCCAAAAGCCTTCGATCCCATGCCGGGAATCTCGCTGACATAGTCAAGCATGACTTTGTCAAGGAGAGGAAGAGTGGCGGAGAGCAGAACGAAGTAGAAAGTAAAGTTGATCCAAAAGAGAACGAGACTATTGGAAAAGAAGAACGACTGAAAGAACATGGCACTTGTCACAAGCAGGCCAAGTATGATCATCTTCTGCTTGCCAGACCTGTCGTTTATTGAACCAATCCAAATGTTGGAGAAAAAAGATATTGCCTGGGGGATGCTCAAGTACAATCCCAGCTTGTCCTTTTCCATGCCGTATCTATCGAAGATGAACTGCGATCTGAATTGGTGGAACATATAAAAAGCAGCTGAGAGTGATAGATAGAGGAACTTAGGGACCAACAAGTATTTTTGGTTGAGCTTTGAGAGATGCTCCATAATCAAGGGTTCACACCAAATTTTTTTTATCCAGGAAGATATATGTATTAGCTGGAATAGAGAGAAAAATGATTTGCATAGGATTTTGTTGATGTCAAAGCATATTTGATCAAAGCATGCGAGTGTATGCCGCATGCCAACATAGGTTCATTATGTATTAATATTATGCATTATTAGGAGTGTGTTATTTAATAGAAAATGCAGAAAACAAAAAAGAATATGCAGTGGCAGTAAAGAAAATAAGCACCTAGTAAAAAATAGATAGAACATTGCAGACCAACTGACCAGTTTATTAAATAAGGGAAAGTTCAGTGATGCATGAAACATTAGTAAATTCAGTGATGTTTGATATATTTGAAAAATTTTAAACTTCTCTTTGAATAGAGAAATGTTCAAATGAGCTAATGGATGCTCGTCAGATATCCCTCGCCTAACTAAGCTAGCCTACCTAAAGCGAGCTATTGCATTCGCGAAGTTCTATTCCATGCCTGCTTATGACCTTGTCTTATAAATGCATCACCTAAATAAAAACAGAGATGTTCTCTTACAAAAGTCCTTTTTGTAAATGGAACAATAGATAAACGATCACGTTTCCACGCTTTGAGACTTTATGACCAGCTGAACAGATAAAAGTATAAATAATCGGTGCTAGTGTAAAATTTTAACCTGTCAATCCTCTCAATTATTGTATTAAGACATATTTTGCACATTAGCAAACTGCAGAAGACGCATAAATGAAAAGATATTAGGACAGTTTATTGCATGAGTATGCCATTTTATTGTCCTTTGATCTTTCTGTTAAAATGTCATCATTTGTACTGTTCATAAATGACTTCAATGTAAAATCAACATTTCCGCTCATTTCAAATGTACTATTTACAATTTTGAACAGCTTCATGTCAAACTCACATTCTTTTATCAGTTTTCTATTTTCGATCAGGAATGTCTGAATGCAATCGTTCCATTCCTATTTATAAAGGCCACGAGTCGGGATGCATCCAGCACCTTTGGAAAGCAAAGGGAGAGATTCAGCTTCAACCTCTTTCCTGCTTCACTATCCATTCCGTCCAAAACTAGATATGCTTTTTCTCCTATGGATTTTTGTCTTCTTTGGTACTTCACATTGAATATTGAGAACTGGTATGTGGGGCCATTGGGATACTTACAGAGAAGCATGGATGATGGATTTCCCTTGGTCTCATGCAGAATGATCAGGTGGGTTACTTCCTGTGTGATGCAGTATTCGGAAAGCTCTTTTTCTGACATTCGTCCCCTCATCAGATGAAAGCCGTTGAAGATAAGAGAAATGTGCTTTGAAAATGACTTTAAAAATGAGGATGGAGTGTGTGAGGTTGTAATGGCTATTTTTGGGGGCAAGTGCATGGATTCCTCTTCTTTGGTTCCATAGATTATCTCGTCCAACAGCTCTTTGGCCTCTCCACGGAGACAGTGCGGTATTCTGGTGTTATTTTTCAGCGCATTCTGCAGTATTTCCTGCTTCTTCTCTATGCTCTGCTCTTTTTCTTTGTGCTTTAGATACTCTCGTCTTTCCTGCAACTTTCTACTAAGCATTTATCCCAAGAATTTTTACTGCTAATAAAAACAATTAAAAATCAAAAACGGCTGGTTAGTTTTGTGCTGCAAAGTAATAAGAACCTCGTTCTCGGTGCTATATGTGTAAGCAAATTAAATACCCACCAAAATGTTTTTTGATTTCCGTCACCACTCTTTATTACTACGTAAGTTTTGGATCTCTTTATCTTAAAAAGACTCCTTCTTGCCTATCGTTGTACCTTTAACAGCTTATTAGCCTACCACTCTTATTTTTTCACTTTTCTGCCAAACCATAGTCTTGCCCCAAATGGACCAGGCTCCACAAGATGAACAACAATTAATTGTAACTCCAGAAAATGTCCAGGAACTCTTGACCTCCAGGAACTTCAGACAAAGAACACTGGCATATCAAAGGATTAATGATTTCCCTCAGTATATTGGTCTTCTTCAGAACGAGACAATAGCGGTTGCCCTAGAAATAGCTTTGGACTCTCTAATGAATTTCAATGGAATATTGACAAACGAGGAGATTTCTGGTCTCTATTCCCAGTTCAGCCAAAGCAAAGCAAGCATTAGAACAAAGCTTTCAGAGGTGATTGACAAAGCCTTTCACAACGACAAGGTTGGCATTTTGAAGGGACTATCTCAGTACTTTACTCACAAAAACTCAAAGGTTGTTTTTGGATGCGTAAACAAAGTCAATTCATTGATCAGTACTAATCTGGAAGATTTTAGGTCTAAAGAATATATGAAGCTCCTGGCAGAAGAGATTTGCCCGAGGCTTGATACCCTTTTCTCGAATGCTGACAAGGACGTTAAAAGCGAGTCATCTTTGCTTTCTCTGACACTCTACCGTGTATTTTATGATGATCTTCTAAAATACCTAGAAAATGTGAAGCCGGTCATTTTAAAAGACCTAAAAGAGTCATTTAAACAGGTTGAGGTTCCAAAAACTGAGATTAGATTGTCAAGCCTTGACTTTGATCATTCTGACTGGAAAGAAAGACTGAATGCTATGAACTTTATTAAGGATAATATTGCAAAGATGAGCAATATTAACGATGTGGTTCCAATATTATCGAGAAAAATCAAAGATCCTAATTTTAGTGTAGTAGTAGCAGTAGTGGAGTGTATAAGGACAGGAAAAATAGCCAACCCTGATTGCGTCAGAGGAATGATAGAGAGGTTTAAGGACAAAAAGGCTTCGCTGACCCAGCTGATCATTGAGACTGTCCAATACACAAAACCTGATGTTAACATTCTCATAGATGGACTGTCAAACAAGAATCCTGATGTTAAAATAGGAATATTAGAATGTTTGAAATTTTATTCAATTTCTAAAAGATAGATGAGGTAGGAAAGATGCTCGACGAGGGGTCGGCTGGTGTGAGAAAGGCGGCTGCAGACATATTATCACAGATGGATGATCTAAGTGAATTAACTGAAAGTCAGAGATCCAAACTAGGTAAGAGACAGCCTGTTTGCAGTGAAAATACTTCAAAATCTGCCGATTCAACAAAGAAACAGTCAATGTCTCCGTCAAGAATCAGCGTAGATCAAAAGCCTGTCAGCACTTTAAAGAAATCAACTACGATAGAGAAGCATTCCTTTTCTTCAAAGCCTGCTGCAGATTCAAAACATACCAGTTTAGCATCGGCGCCAGATCAAACATCTAAAGCAAAGGTCTGTGATTTATTTAGTGACAAATACCCCCTACTTTTTGATAAAGACTGGAATAAAAGATTGGCTTTCATCCAGGAAAATAAGGAAAAATTAAGGGAGGAGGGAATTTCCAACATCATTCTGTTTCTGATTGGCTCCAAGGAGACCAACCTCACTGTATTGAAAGAGATGATGGGCATTCTTGTTTCTTTTGATGATCTGTCTGAGATTAGCTCAGATCTCTGCTACTATCTGAACTCAAAGATAACAGAATCAAAGTTAAAAGATAGCATTGTTGAATTATTTAGAAAGATTGATGGCGTGGTTGCCATCCAAAGCATTCTACAGAATATAGAGCAGAACAAGGTTGGAAAGAAGTTTGTCTGTCTTCTGGATGTTTTATCGAGTATTGTGACCAAGAAGAACGAACATATTGATAGATTTTTGGAAAAAACTAAGGTATTTGGAATGCAGGAGAAGAAAGCACTGTCTGATTTCACAGCGCGGTATAAGTCACTAGAAAATGATACTCCATCGAGCCTTGTCTCTGTTAGCAATACTACGGCTTCTTTAGTTGCCAAACCCCCGTTACTGCTCAGTAATGCCAATGAAAGTAAAAGGAACGACATTTTTGGTAGCGCAAGGAATGACCCATGTGAAACCGGTATTAAAAGAGGTAGTGTTTCTGAATGCCATACATACGAAGACGAGTCTAAGAAATCTTTAAATATCAAAATTTTTAAGGAAAATACGGATTTTACAGGGCCACTGGCAAACATTTTTACCTCAGAGTTTCTTGGTGTGTTCCAGAAGGATCCATTTATTGCAGTTGGAATGCTAGAGAAAATTGACATTTGCAGATTTGCCAGCGCAATTATTCTTTTGTACTGCCAATTCTCTCTGCCATCCCCATATTTCAATTCCCTAATTCTGCATTTGATAAGTCGTAGATTTATACTCAACGACAACGACGCACATATATTGGTTTCTTTTTTGCTTAATCATTCAATGGACTCTGAGATAGATTTGATGGACAGAATCTATCCAGCAACAAAGCTATACAGAGCATTGAGAACATTTCCTGGAGATTTGAGCTTGAATGCTATTTTTAACTTAGTTAGAAAGTACAAAGACGTGGACGGATTGAATCTGAGGGATATTGAGGCTGCTGTAAAGAACAATGACGATTTTATTGCATTTTCATTTAATATTGACAGAATTGTTATCCTTAAAAATGAATTGAAGACCAAGATTGATCAGAGCACTGGTCATGTGAACATGCCATGCCAAAGTATGACTGCCCATGTGGCCTCTAATGGTGAAGTTTTGCCTGACAACAGCACAATGTGCTCTTCAGCAATGCTGTCAAATGGCAGCATGGACCGTCCAAATATAGACTCCAACCAGCAAAGGCTAATTGAGGAAAAGCTGAATTATCAGAATCTGATGAAAGATGAGGATGACTTGGATGATTTGGAGGAATCAATTATCATAGAAAAGTCTTTGGTAGAAGAAAGCAGCCATTATTCTTTGGGCGATGGCATTGATAGTCCTCATTTGTCAGCATCTGTTGTTAAGGCTCCTAGCGTCGCAGACAGGGACAGTTTATTGGCCGAGGACTATGGCAAGCCACGGACATCTAATTTGGACAAGAGCAATCAAGGCAATGACTTTAATGTTCCATCTTCTAAGATCATTGAAGCTGATCTTTCATATGAAATTGAACGAAGTTTGGAAAACATTAGCATTTCAACTACTCCAATGAAGAAAAAACGAAATTTGTCAGAAATTGAGAATGTTTTGAACAAGCTTTCAAGCGAAAACAGCAGCGCTTCAGTTGAAGGACTTCACAGACTTGCGGGTATAATTGTAGATGCCCCTAGCACGATTTCGTTCTCGTCTAACACTGTCATTAGCTCCATTTTGATACAGATAATGACCAGATACCAGGATGTAGACTACAGGAATATTGCACTCAGTGTACTTCTTAAGTTCACCCAGAACACAACACTCTGCTCGTGTCTGAGGTTCGAGACTTTGAAATCTGTTCATGTTGATCTTGTTCCATTGGTCAAGGATCAAAACGTGATTGCCGACATTTTAATTAATCTTTGTCTTAATTGTGAATTACAGGTGTTGAGGGTTTATTTTGACTTGCTCGAAGACTCAAATGAAATACTAATGAAGCTGATTTGGAGACATTCTAAAAAGGTGAAGTACACTTCTGTTGAGACTGCAGCTACAGTTATTAAGATTGTCGATGTGTTTTTTGAGGAGAAAAGGAGTTTTCTGGGAAATGCAGACAATATTGTCATCAAAGTCTGTCTACTGCATCTGAAGGAGTGTGTGGCTGCTTTTAGTGACAATTTGAGGCAGTTTGGAATTAGCAAGATCACTGAGAGAATCATTAGCTTATTACTGTCAGGAAAAGATTTCAATGTGGATGAGGCTCGAAGTATTTTTAAGGGAAAAAACTAAGCACTGCTGAAATATGAGATATCACAGATATAACAAATGATTAAACTTTATTAAGTGTAAATTAGCTGGTTTATAATTAGTCCTCGGCTGTAAAGCAGTTAAGAAAATACATATGTTTTTAATATAAATAGCTGTTTACTAATCAGCTTTCTTCGTTACTCTTTTAATGTCAACATCGTACAGTTGACCTTCTCTGTCTCGTACAACACCTCGGTCGCCAGAAATAGAAATTAGAGTGCCGTCTGTACCCCTTCTGTCTCCTTCCATTATTATCACCTTGTCGTACTTTTCAGGCTCACAAAATTCAATTTCATGCGAAAGAAATATCTCGCCTGTTCTAGTCTGAAACAGCCCATCTTTAATATCCGATACAGTGTAGCTCTTACCCCCTGAAACAATAGACGCACCATCATATGCTGATACCAACCATCCTGTGCCTGCCTCTTCCGCAGAAAAACGAGCGGCTGTTCTACTGCCAAGGCCCAATGATGGTGTTCTGTAAGAGGGTGTCTTGTACGTAGGTGTTTTAAATGCAGGTGTTTTGAAGGACGGTGTCTTACCATCAAAACCTTCGTCGCCAGCGAGATCGCCAATGGAAACCGTTCTGCCTGTATCAACAGGTGCAATAGCGTCTCTTTCAATTGTTACTTCCTTCATATTTGATCTTAAACGAACAATACATTTGTCCTGGAACGAGTCTTTAATTGTCCCCTGTAGTCCTTTAAACTCTCCACTCGTAATTCTAACTAGTTTATTGATTACCGGATCTTTACGAACCTTAAATCTAATGGGCTTCTCAGCTGGTGCTATCTTTGGTGGAATGGCAGATTTGACATCGTCAATTGAGCACTCAACCTCCCTAGTAAAGCCATCCATTCCCAAAATGATCCTTCTGCCTTGAACAGACAGCACCACTCCATTTTCTCCTCTGTATGAAGCCTCCTGTCCAACTTCAAAGAACTTTTCAAGATCGTCCACATTTACCTCGTATATCCTACCATCTTTCTTAAGAGTTGCCACGTTTCCTTTAATGCTATCAACTACGCCAACTATATTTTTTAAATCCCCCTTCAAAACCTTGACCGTCTCGTTAACATCAAAATTGCCCTTTAAATCTAGCTCACTGAGTTCGGCAAATGTGGGCTCGACATCGAAATCTAAGTTTGACTTTAGCATAATCTTTTCTAGGCATCCGTTTCTATAGAAATCTCTATTGTAGTAGTATCCACCATCCTTAAAAACGGCCTCTCCCCTGAACTCGCTTGGATCAAATCTTCTTTTCAGATTATTGATTCTTGGGATTGCCTTTACCTTAACAACATCTTCGTAGTTTTCAAGTATCTGAACAAGATCTCCCCTATATTTTCCGCCCTTAATTCTTGCAAAATCGCTGACAATTATGTTCTTTTTGTAGGATATTGCTTCTACCATCTCTTTAAACGGAACAACAGTAAATCTTTTTCTTGAAACATTTCTAACCGTGGACAGCACATCCTCAACAGCCTGTTTCTTGTATGACTCGATGTATATATAGCCTTTTAGCCCATCTTTCTGCACAATAGAGCACACCTCAGCATCCTTTGCCCTTTCATATATTCTCTCACAAATCTCTTTCTCTTTGCCGACTTTGCATCTTACCAGAAAAAGCAGCGGGGATTGTGGGGTGGGAAGAAGTTGCGACTGTGATGGTATTTCTAGCACTTCTTCATCCTCTTCTCTTTCTGCTCCATACTTCTCCTCAAGTTCCTTGGTTAGTTCTGTGAAGCTCTTTGCTTGCGGGATAGCCACTGGCTCAAGATTATCTAGGTCTTCTGATAGATCCTCTGACTCGTACTCATCGCTGTCAGACTCTGCCTCCAAATGAAGATATCTTGCTGCTCTTCTTCTTGACATCGGGGCATGCAGAATCCGAAAAGAAAATGGAGCTTTCTGTAGACCAGAAGCAGCATCCCATTACGAGCACAATTAAAGAGATTTTGCCAAATTGATTCGCATGTTGGTGAAGTTGCTGGATGGCACCAAGGTTACTATCATTTCAGTCATTAGTCTTACACACCATCCTGTGCATCATCGAGATATCTACAACATTGTTAAATTCTCTCAGAACGACCACACTTTGGGGACTTTTTGCACTATGAAATATCCGGCTGTCCTAATAACTTTAGCATTTAAAAGTAAAGCATTGGCAACCGTAAGAATATTTAAGCAACAAATACTTGAAAAAACATCTGCATGTAGAGAGGAGTAGTCTCTTTGAGTCTTTATAAAAAAGAGAATAGTCATGCATGCTAAATTTAATACATTACTCTTCAAGTTTATATGTGTAGCATCCAGTATTTGGTATGATATTCTTAGATCGTCTCGTCTTTATTTGGGCAAGAATGTTCTGTATGGTTTTAGAAATGTTCAGCTCTTTCGTGTAATACTTTTCATATATCCCAAGCAGCTCATCTACTTCATCTGGCCTTATGTATTTGGCCAATGCCAGCACTTGATCTATGTTGTTATTTCTAACTGCTTCTTTAACTTCATCCATCACCATTTGATGGGTACAATTTTTATTTCAAATATAATAAAAAGAGTAAACGCACAAAAGTGCGCCAGCATCTGTTCTCCACTCGGTTGTATATTCTAACTTTTCAAACTTGAAAATTTTTTATCCTCATGAGCCAGCCAACAATATTCATCGAGACTCCAAAAGATTCACACAATAGCACAAGGGAGCTGCTTTCTGAACTATTTATGATATTTCCAAATTCAAAGAAATGGGCAGATGGTCTTGAAGTCAAAGATTCGGACATTTTCATTAAAATACAAGAAGATATTGGCCCACAGTTTTTGATTTTTACTTGTAAAACAAGCCAGTTTGTCTTTAAAATAATAGAGTATAGAAGCAGAGCATCCTTGGGCATAGATTCCACAATTAAAAAGGAAAACCATCAACTTGTTTTGTCGCACTTTACCACGGAGCTTGGGCTGAGGGTCGCCAATATCTTTATGAGTGCATTTCCGGTAAATCTAGAATCGAATCAAGTTGTGAATTTTGCAGTGCACAAGGATTTCATATTTTTCAGAATGTATAGATTTTGCATCAACGAGAAGGGACCGGCTTTTGAAAAGCTTGGGCCGCATCTTACTCTTAGACTGTGGAGGGTAACTGACCATGAGGGTGAAAGCAAAAAGGTGGTTAGTTATCAGAAGTATGTAAAAAATGCCAATCTACTTTGACAATGGCATAGCTATCCACTGGAACCATCGTAGACAAATACAACACTTTATTAGTACATAATTGGGCAGCATTGCTATAAAAATTTAATATTGCTCTATCACTCCTTGCTATCCGTACTATACAACATTTTTGTATATTCTGCAATTATACTTACCAATGTTTGGCAAAAATCATGAACCTCGCCACATACCAAAACAAGCCTGACAACTTGCGCTGTGCCCTTGCTTTTTTTAACTGTAAACTCGACAATTAGTATTTTATTGGGAAATTGGACAATTTTTCTATTAGGCTTCAAGCTGTAGATTGTATAGTCCAGCGGCAACGGCTTAAAAAACGTCTCGGCAGATACTTCGGAATTAAATATCAGCTCATAATATGTTTTTTGGTAACAGCAAAATAAACTTCGTTCATACTTCAGCCCATCTGCTATCACTGACAAGATGTCTTTAGTCTGCAGCCACACACTAGCTTTATGCTCTTGTTTTAAGTATAGTCGGTTTAGAATCAATCTGTAAATGTAGTATTCTGGCTCATTCCCATCCTGGACGGTGTCGTAAATGTTTCTAGTGGTGTAGTTCATTGTTTTCATCTTTTCTATAATAATTGGATCAAAGAACTTGATGTGGATATCATTAAACATGGGCTCTTCTAGGTTTAAAATTTTGTAAATATTCCTTAGTGTTATTCTTTTCTCTTGCTCTTGTATAAAGATTCCTTTTAGGACACTCTTTATGCTTGTGCTCTCAATATAGCTATTGAATATTGAATAGTATCCTGTAATTGGCTTTCCGCCTGAAACCTCATCGAAGCTTTTTAGACCCAGACACATCTTTAGAACGCATACCCCAAGTGTCCAAACATCATTGGATTCTCCATCATATGCCTGCTGGTTTATCATCTCGGGCGAGCAGTACTGTATTGATCCGCAAAAGTCGGTCAGCTGCTGATTTTGCTTAACAAATGTAGAAAAGCCAAAGTCACACAGCTTAATGTTCATATCATCAGCAATTACAATGTTTTCAAGCTTGATATCCCTGTGGACAATCTTGTGGTGATGGAGATATGATATTGCATCTAGCATTTGCTTGAAAATCATCAGTATCGTCTGTTCTTTTAGACATCCGTTCTGTTCTAAATACTGAAGCAAGGTTTTTCCTGGGCAATATTCTAAGGCAATTATAAAGAAAGATCCATGGTCATCGGAGTGGTAAAACTTAGGAAAATATGGACTGTCAATTAGCGATAGGATCAGCATTTCATTATACAAGTAATTTGTAACTCCATCTGACCAGGAAGGACAGATTTTGAGTGCAACTTTCTTATTTGTAGATTTGTCATTAGCCAAAAACACACTTCCGAAGCTACCATTTCCTATTACTTTTTCTATTGAATACTTTGATAGACATCCTTTTTCTAAGTCAAACATCGGGGTATTAGCAATTTTTAAACATCACTTCAAAGTCAGTAAACAAATCACACTTATGAGATATCTTTGCGACTAGATTGTAAATAGAAAAGATTCATTAATTTTTGCATGCATTATTTTTATATCTATAATAAAGTAAGCTTAAATAAGATTGACAGAACAACTACAATCCATCCAATCTACTGGATGAGCTATATCTAGTCAGCTTTGTTGTAAATATTGGCTGAAAATTTTTGTAGATTAATTGATAGCTTTGAAAAAAGACCACATATCAACGTAAAACCAAGACTGGGACCTG